GAATAATAATAAATGAATAATTAGTACCAATAATGAGAAAACCAGCAGTATATGATGTAATATCATTGACAGACTCCTGTTTAAAGTCTGTCCCATTACTGTATACTGTGATATTGTACTGGTTTATGCTGCAGTTGTAATCCTGTGTGTTCAATGACCAACTGATTGTCAGTGCAGTATTGTTAATAGGAGTAATAGTTACATTAACAACTGACACTGATACTGGTGGACCTATTCATGTAGAGTATATTAGCTATAGTAAAATAAAGATAATTACTAACCTGTCATTTTGATAGTAAATATAACAAAACCATTTGAAACATGATTTGAACAACTAATCATAGTTCCATTCATTGATACATTTAGTGATGGTATAGTACCAGTGCTTGTCACTGTACTACCCATAATATCAATAACATTGAGTATAAGGACACCAATATTAGTTGCAGCGGCAGATACATTAGTTTGTAGTCTTGTCAGAGCAGTTGGCACAGCACTATACTTCCAGTATGTATTTCCAGTAGTTGTGCAAGTAACTACTAGTCTATCACCAGGACACACTGGAGTATAAGATGGAGTGATTTGAGTCAATACTGCTGCAGAAGATAATAGAATAAAATCAACCAATACAAGACACCAGTAGATACCAGCAGTAGCAGCCATTAGTATAAGAGGAATAAGAGCTGAACAGTTTATAGAATAAACAATAAACCGTTTATGATGATGTTTTATACAACCACACCTTGAATAACTGCATGGTCAGGTGCATATTAGATCTATACATACCTGTGGTAGCACATTCATTGACAAATCACAAACAAGACTGTACTGACATAGCAAATGAGAATATGAGAGAATATTACATAGTAGATACCCATGATAGTATAATAGCAATTATTATTACTATTTTTGCTGATAATGATACAAGCCAGGCAATAATGCAGCTTGAGTGTTTTTGTAAAGTACATGCAATACCGGTAAGAGTAATTCTTTTCCAGCTCATGCTTCTCCTCCACCTCCTCTTATAATGGCAGTATAGTATACCATTAGCTATTGTTATTGTGATTAAGTTCATATTACTTACAATAAACAATGTATTGTTTATTGTAAGTAATTGACAATAACAATGAAACTAGAAATAAGAGTTATTCACAACAACATGCATACAAGAATTAATTAGTGGAGTATAATACTAAGTTCATAATGAAATGATTTACTTAACATGTTATGAGCAGTGATTTTAAACAGCTAAAGCTTTAATCTACACACTGCATGCATGGCTAAAACTAAGAACAGGACAAGGAGCAAATTAGATCATTATTTATTGATGCATTATGATGATCAATTAACCAATTATCTGGTTATATGTAACCAAAATGAGTTCACCTTTTTATATACTTCATAACAGTTCATATTCTTTATTGTTGATGTAAAATATACATGTTCTTATGATGTGTGTCACGTTTGAGCTGATTTGATCCCATTTTGAACTTTAATGAATTTTTTAATTTGCTCAAAATTTGGCCCTTTATGTTATCAAAAGTAGGAGGAAATAGATATACTTATGATACAAATGATGTCCTTAACTATGTAGAAAGTTTGAGTTAATGTTAGTGATCGTGCCAGTTTTGTGCTATAGGCTGCTCATCCTGTAAACATACTTATTAAAACAACAAGTGGTTCATTATAAAAATTACATCATAATTTGTCCATATGCATCATTATTATGTACATTAATTATATCTTTATTAATAACATCATAAGCAGTATTAGCCTGTAGTTCCATTGGTGTATCATATATTGGTACTCCAGTAGTAGTAGTTGGTTTAACAATGATCTCATCATATGTAGGAGTAACTGCTCCATCAGTACTACTGTGGATTTGATGATACATGAATACATTAATATAGATGTAAACTTGCTTTTTAGATATTTTATATCTTTTTCCTGTATGCATAGCAAAATAGCAATAATTAAAAGTGATTATAGTAATCAAACTTACTTCTTTGTTTCTCGATTGCCAGTATCACTATTACCAATATAATAATAATAATTATTATTATTATTACAAATACTGTTCCAATAGCTCCTGATATAATAGGAACAGTATTAGAACCAGCAGCAGTAGTTGATACAGTTGTTGATGAAACTGGTGTACTCATACTAGTAGTACCAGTTGATGTACCAGTAGCTGAAATAAAAGATGATAATTGTTCATGAATTGTTGAAGACACTGTAACTGCTATTATATTAATTAATGGTAAAACCATAATTATCACTTACTTGAAGTAGATGATGTATATGTTAATGAATTACTGGTATTTATATCAGCAGTTAATGTAACTAATAATATACAAAATAATGTATGTATTAATAAATAATGTATTAACTGTACAGACCTGATGATGGAGCATTAGTAACTGAACTAGTAGTACTGGTCACTGTAGAAATAACAGTTACAATAACTATTAATAATAACTACATCAATAAAAAACACTGTAAATTAACTACACAATATACATACCATTAACAGTAGCTGATGTTCCATATCCAATAACATTAACAGGAATGATAGTAACAGTGTAGTTTGTATCAGTAAGAGGTAGTCCAGTGATAGTAATATTAGTATCATTTGATGTAAATGTTGTTTTGGCTATATTGACAATGTAATAATTAATAGGAGGATGTATTTCCTATTGCAATAGTAATATTAATGATTTGTGATCTTAGCATACTGGAGTGTTATTCCACCATATTGTAATAGTATCAGTTGATATCTGATCCCAACTAATATTAACAACTTGAGCTGGTACTATAAGAAATACAATGAGTGTGTGTGTGTGTATAGTACTTACCATTCCATATATACTGTATTAATGATGAAGGGGGTCCTTCTCTTCCAATAGTATCAATAGGAATAATAATAAATGAATAATTAGTACCAATAATAAGAGAAGGAATAGTTGCTGGTGATGTATTGACAGTATGATTCTCAGTGTATGTTTCATTACTGGTTATTGTAATATTATAATAACTTATACATTGTTGCTGTTCTGTCCAGTTAATTAATAATGAACTATTATTAATTGGTGCAATTGTAGTATGTAATACTGGTACTACTGGTGGACCTGTTAATAAAATGATAATAAATTTATAATATATAATCTCAGTTTAACCTGTTACATTGATAGTTACATAAGTAAAGGTACCAGTAACAGCACTAGCTCCATCTGCACAACCAATCATAATTCCATTATGTGATACAGTCACTGATTCAATAGTAGCAGTACTGGTTATCATAGTACCATTAACAGCAGTAACCTCAATTGAGAAATTCCCTTGTTTAGTAGGTTGACTAATATTAACTAGTTGAGGTGTTGCACCATCATCAGTTTTCCATACTAGTAGACCACCAGGAGTATCAGTATTAGTTGTACAAGTAAGCACTAGTCTATCACCAGAACATGATACTGTACCAGGAATAGGAACTGTTTGACCAAATTGTAATACAGCTACAATGTACAATATCAATTAAGTTAAAGCACAAATTTAATTACCAGATACAGCAAGACTCAAAGTACTTCCAGTCAATACAAGACACCAGTAGATACCAGCAGTAGTAGCCATCAGTAAGAGGAATGAGAACTGAACAGTTTATACTATGGAATGTAAACTGTTTATGATGCTAATGCTATAATCTACATTCATTGCCACACCTGCAATAACTGAAGCTGTAATACAAAATTGAAAAAAAAACATAAAATTATAATATTATACTTATCGAATGTAATTGCAGACATTAGATCTATATTTTATAGCCTGTATAAACCATTATGGTATTACATGTAATAGTATTTTATCACTGATTGATACAGATGGATTTATATAAACCATAGATATGGACTTGCCATATCTATGCATAAACTGATATTAATGTGATATTGCATGATATTAATATGATATGGTGACACTGAAGCACATATATATGCAGACTTCCAATAATTGTTCGCTGTTGTTCTTTTTTGCTATTAGCTACACATATAAACATTAAATGCAATGTGTGTGTAACACAAATGTAAGTACACAGCTTTAAATAGTTCATATCAAAATAGACTATGTTACATCATTATTTGTCCATATGCATCATTATTATGTACATTAATTATATCTTTATTAATAACATCATAAGCAGTATTAGCCTGTAGTTCCATTGGTGTATCATATATTGGTACTCCAGTAGTAGTAGTTGGTTTAACAATGATCTCATCATATGTAGGAGTAACTGCTGCATCAGGACTGTACCTACTGTTGGTTTGAAAATAATGATTATGATATTTAATAACTTACTTTTTAAATGCTTTGTTAGTATCTGTAAGCACAAAATATGATAAAATTCAAACCAGTAAAAATATACTTACTTCTTTGTTTCTTGATCACCATTGATATCATTAATGCTATAATAATAATTATTATTATTATAACAAATACTGTTCCAATAGCTCCTGATATAATAGGAACAGCATTAGAACTGGCAGTACTGGTAGTAGGTGGTATCATATTGGATGATTTTACTGTTGATGTAACAGTTGTAGGAGCAGTAGTGAATCCGGTGGTAGA